GGTTCAGCCTAAGGGCTCCACATGGCCTCAGGAGATAAATGCTTCTTGTTGCACTAAGCTGAGAGATAAAGAGATGTAAAATGAAAATAAATTGTATGTGCTTTTCATCTTTGTTGGCTTTTGAGGGTTCCTAGAGGATTAGCTTAGACTGGATGTCTAAATGGAAGAATTCCTGCAGCCAAGTGAACTTTGGAGCCTGTGAAACCTTATCAGCATTTACCCCTGGACAGTGCAGTATGGATTCTTCAAGATAGCAGGAGAAGCAGGTAGAAACCTTGGAGGATTCCTTCATATTCCTGAACCCTAGATCAGCTGACTTAATCTGTGTGAAATCCAAATGGATTTACACAGATCTCCTTGAGGTCAGTGGCTCAAACTGGAATGCAATATGTGTTTCCAGACCCCCTGTAACTGGCAATGCTCTCTAAAAGTACAGCACCCAGCCCAGAGAGTGCATCCAGCAACTCTGTTGTACAGCCAATATATCTGAAGCAAAAATAGAATGCGCAAACAATGGAAAATGCAAAAGAATAGAATTTCTGTCTTGAATTATAATGTCATTGTTCATGCCAGAGGCAAGAAATATCATATTCAAATAATCAGAGATTTTCATTTGGACACTGAATAGAATATATGACTTTAATTTTGGATTCTGCCTGATTCAAGAGATACTTATATATGCATTTCTACATCTATCATAGAGCTGCAGAGATGCACAGATTCATTCCAAGTTCCAGGATCAAGCAGTAATTTCTGGGTGTGATGCCACAAGTCATTTCCCCAAGTAAAGCAGAACAACTAAACACACAAGTCAAGATTTACTCTGCAGGATCAAGGGTTGCTGTATTTAGCTCTAACTCTTATTTGACAGGTCCACTTAATTACCTTTTATTCCATGATTAGATGAGTTGATTTAGTCTGCATAAGTATTAATTTTCAATTTACCATTTAAATAGAGGAGCCAGAATTATACTTTTCATATTTACTTGTAAAACTATTTTTGATTTTAAATATGTTTGCATTCAGGGCTCTTTGTTACTTTAATTAGGCAAAGTTGTTTGTTTTTTTTTTTTTAAATACACTTAGTATGGCAATGGGAAAATATGAAGGGTTTTGAAATGAGGCAGGTTGCTAAATGGAAAGACCCTAACTAGAAATAATCCCAAACAGTTAAATAATGTGTTCTGCAAAGGTCTGTACCTCAAAGTGTTGTAAAAAGGAGGTAAGCAACATTTCACTTTTTAAACAGCCCCCTAAAGTCTTTATAAATGATGATGGAAAGCCTGCTCTCTTTGCATGTTCTTTTCCCTCCAGGGACCCTGTAACTGTAATCATGTGGAAGTGAACTCTCCTCTATTATGCAAAGCTTGTTTTAGGTACAATGTGGGCACAAGGTGATCTGGAGAGCTAAGCTGCTGTTGTTGGCCAACCTGTTCTATTTTAAACCCCTCAGTAAATCACTTCTTTCTTTTCTTGATTACTTGCTTCAGATAAACCAATTTTGAAACCTATATAGAGTTGTTGTGCCTCTGGGGTTAAGAAGTTGACTTTCTTTTGTTTTCATAAGCTAATGGCCCTTAGTCGCTTCTGTTCATAAAACTGAGTTGCCTAATTGACTGCTGGCTTCCAGTAATGTCTGCCAAATTTGGCTTTTGTGAATTGTCCCATCTGTTGGCTGTGTGCAGAAATAGACTCACAGCTCTGCTGGATTGTAGGTGGCTGGAGTGACTCACCAGCCTTCCCCACCAGTGCTCCAGCAGGCACTGGGGCTCAGAGAGGACCAACAACAGACAGGGGAAGCATCTTTGCTCTGCGTGGAACTGTGAGCACCACAGAAGCTTGCAGGCACTCAGGTGCTTCTGCATGACATGGTCCTGTGTTCCTGCTCTCAGCAAGCCTGGCTTAGCTGGGATGGGAACAGTCAGAAACATCAGAAGAGGTTGCCTGAGGAGCTGAGCTATCTCCACCTTTAGGGATTTGTTAACCCAGATTAGACAGGAGTATGGGATCAGTGGTGTGGGTTTAGCTGGTAGCACCAGCAGGCAGATGCTGTGCTGGGAGACCTGGGAGGTCCTTTCCAGCAGGGCTTCCTGCCAGAATCTGGCTCCAGTGCCTCTCACATGAGTTCCCAAACCCTGTGGGGAGCTTATTTAGCCCACATCAAAACACAGATGTCCTCTTTTTGTTTCACATAGCTATTGCTTACTGCAGTGACATTCTCCAAGGGCAGAAAATAGGAACCCTTAGGTCTGCTTCTGAAAATGACTTCTATAGTACACAGCTAAACCCAAATTATGTCATTCACTCCTGTCTTACAGAACCACTTTCAACATTTCCTCAGCACACGTACTTTCCTTGAACTGTATCAGACAGTCTCTGCACTGAGTTTCAAATGCTGACCCGGTGAAGCTGAAATCAGTGGGACAATTTGAAAATAAGGGCCTGCCTGACTTGTACATACAAGTATTTTAACCTAGTTCATTACCTGCTTCATGGTTATCAACCAAGATTTTGAAAAATCAATTTAATTTAAAAAAGAGAGAGAAAATTCTTGCCAAATACATTGTCTTCAAATTTTCCAGAGTTAAGAATTCCATTAACTCATTACATTATACCATGAACACTGCATCTTGCTTAAAAGGAAGTAAACCAAATTCCACATTGTATACTTAATAAAATCCAAATTAACTCAACTTCATTGTTGCTGAAAGATATATTGTTCAAATGCTCAGGGTAAGAAAAAGATTAAAGAATGAAATATTCTGTATTTCTTGATTTCTTCCTGTTGATATGTTATCTGTATACCCTTGTGTCTTATGTTAATGTGTTATATTAATTTCCTTCTTTTTGAACCTTTTAGGGATATAGTTTTGGAGGAGAAAACAAGTTTAGAATTCAGTCCTAACCTATCTGTAGAAATCTCTTTTAAAACATGGGTCACACTGTAGAAAGAGTTTGGTTGTCACTGCTTTCAATTAAAGCCTGAGGAAAACCTCTGTGCTCAGTTAAACTTCAAAGACTTTTGTTGTATTGAGGCTACAACATTTTCATAAGGCTGAAGATAACCCCCCACAAGCAGATAGCTGGAAAGCAGAGTTTGTATTCTTGATTCATAGGTAAACTTACCATGTACTTGTCTGTCAGTGAGCTCAAAATATAAATATTAATCTTTTTAATATTGGTTTGCTTTCTATAAATTTAACCAAAATTCACATATTCTGTTTGATTTCATGGAGATACTATAGTCCTTCATCTCTTCAGGGAAGGGTTTGGTATAAAGATCATGTAATTTAAGTCAAAGAAAGATTTTCTGAGATTGTGGTTTTTCTTCCAGCTATGTAAGTAAACATTGAAAGATAGAATCCCTGTTTTTATGCAGAACTGGAGATTAACTTGTGTCCCTTTAGTACAATACCAAACAAAATTATTAATTAATATGACACATAAAGGTCTTTTCTGGTTTAGGGTCAGAAGATTTACTTGAATATCTCCATTCTGACTTGCCTGATCTGTAGTGGTTTAAGTTTTGGTAACTTCACCTTGTGAGAGGATATAAGATTCCCTTCATAGTCTGTACCAAATATTGAATTATCTAAGGTGGGTTTTTTTTGCAAATGAATAAACTGACACTGCTGAACATCATCTTTCTAATGTAAGAAAGGTCAAACTAAATACCCTCAAAGAGACAAATCCCTTTACTCTTATCCAGATGTTGTTCAATGTCTTTATTAACATTTTGAAGGCTCTCAGTGTTCAATCAAACACCATGCTCCTGTTCCAAAGCTGATTCATCTCCAGACAGCTCAGAACACAAACTATCCTGTGGATCATGTCAATAGATCATGTAAAAGCTAAATTCCCCTTATTCTGCCTGGCCATCTGAAAGGCAGCAGTGTGCAGGTTCTAGGGCAGAGAATCCCTCACCAGAGCAGGACCAGTGCAGTGTGCAGCCTCTGCTTGTGGAGGAAGAGGATCACTCCTGGTAACAGACCAGGAGTTCCCCCAAGCTGCCTTGTGGATTGTTCTGCATCCATAGACTATTAGACAGCAGAAAGAATCCTTGGGGTCTGTCAGCTGTTATTACAAACTAATCCCCAGTTAGTATCTTTATTCAATTTTAAGAATAATAAAAAAACAGAAAAATCAAGGTAGAATAACCACCAAATGAAAAAAATTAGTTTAATTAAAATGTAATAGCATTTCTGAATTCAGACTTAAACTGAGAGGGAAATTCAATAGACATTTATTTTATTTGGGAACTTCAGGAAGATAATTAAATGCACTAATTTGTTTTGAGTCCTCCCTGAGGATCTCTTAAAGTCAGGGCATGGTCTGAACTACTGCTATCATCAGATTGATTTAAAAATATTTATATAACTAACATGTGTTCCAAGAATTTTGATCACAGCATCAACTAGATGGTAGCTTTTGAAACGTGTCTAGCTTGCAAGACTGTGCAGAATTCTGAGATAACTGGAATTCTTCACCTTTGCTGGTATGTACTCTGGGATTTCTGCTTTCCAATGTTTTGTTCAAGCTTTAATAGTCTTGATATTCAAGAGAGATTGTTAATCTAATAGCATTTGTAGAAAATTGAGAAAACCTGTCTTCTTTGTTTCCTTGGAAATATTTACTTGTGTAAGTCTAAAAATTTTGTGTCCAGAAACTGGAGTAAGTTAGTGGTGATAAAACATCTCTCTCTCTGTATACACACACACACACACAAACACACACATACACAAACATATATGCAATAAATACAAAAAAAAAAATTATAATATATAAAATAATGTGTAACATATCTTTAATACTCTTCTGTTATACACAGATGTACACACATACACACAACCTACATGCCTTTATATATGTGTGTGTAACATAATATGCTGCCTGGCTTTCTGTTATACCACCTGAGATCAGGTTCATCCAAGGGACATGGAATATGAGGAGCAATTAACAGATTTCCATGTACTATTAGTTTGTATTGGTTTGTGGTTGGCAGCTGATGGAGTACTGCCCCTTTCATAAACTCAGCATTTATTTGTGCTGTATGTTTGGTATGCAGTTGAAATTCATCTCACATTTAAAACCCATACTGGATATTCCAGGCAGCCATCATATGCTCTTTTAATATTCAACAAAGATAGAGAAGGGAAAAAAAGGTATGCATTTTGAAGATGTTTTTGGCCTTAGATGATTCAGACAAATCAGATACTCATCATGTCTTTATCTCTTCACTAATCATCATTGAAACTTCAGGGTGATTTGCACAGTGGGTGTCTAAATGAGATGATCCAGGCTCACCCCTTTTCTTTAATATGGGAGTTGATCCATCCTAGTTGTTATTGTAATACTTTATTCAAAGCCTTTCTTCTAAACTACAAGAAAAAGGATAAAGTAAAAATAATCATCATAGCAAATGCACCCACACCCCTATCTGTAATTAGAAACCTAATTACCAATTATTTCCATTGATCTGTCATTGGTAATCATTTGGAAAACTCTGCCTGCATGGGAAAAGGATCTGCAGCAAAGCAGTTTTTTTATTCAACATTTTCTGACACTGCTCACTCCTCGAGTAGGCTGTCACAACCGTGGTGATGCAGGCTGCCTTCTGTTGATCTCCTTGGTAATTAGTTTTTGAAGGTTAATCCCACTAGGCATTCCCTGTGTCAGCTTGGAGTTTAATGACTTTCTGAGCTTTAAAGCACTACATGCTGGAGATAAAATATTGCACAAAGTTGAGGTCTGCCTGATCCTCCAGAATGCTTACCTGATCAAATTCAGATACCCAACCCATCAGGGTAGCACAGATGAGGCATTGCTGTTTTCCTGTCATTAGCTCCCTCCTGGCACACAGACAGTCCATGGTGTAACATGTGCATCCAGTGACTTTCTGACACTCATGGAAAAGGAACACATAACAATTTATATCTCAGTCAGAGAAATTTGCCTTTTAATGGAAATCCAGCTCAAAGTTAAACCTTGACTTCCAGGAAGGCCTGAAATTTATCTGGAAATAAAACCTAACTCCTAAAGTGCCTGAGCTAGAACTATTTGGCTGTGGGACTGTACCAGGTGACAAAGATGTTTGCAGGTTCTTATGCTCTTCTGTCATCACTCCAAGAAGGATTTCTGGTCTCATCCAGTGTGACTGTACTGATCTTCTGTGTAGGGGTTGTAACTCAAAACCAAGTAAAGAATAAGGAACTAATATGATATGCAGTGTGCATAAAAAGACCAAAAATAGTCTAGTAACAAAGTGAGGAAACCTTATAGCAGCTGGAATTTAATGCATTCTTGGTGTGCAATAATGTCAAATTAATTGATCTTACATATAACTTTAGTCCTATAAAATTTCAAAGAATCATAGTTCTGAGTGGAAAAGGAGCCACCAGGATCAAGTTCAACTCCTGGCCCTCATCAAGAAACCCAAGAATCACATGTTTAGATAAATAGGGTGGGGTTCATCTAACTAAAAGTGAATATCTGTCCCTGAGAACATCATTCTTCTTTTCCTTTATAGCCATCACTGGAGAAACAGGTATTTTAGGGGAACAGTTCCTCTCTCCTCTAATCTGACATATAATTAAGATCAAATGAATCATGTCCTTAGTTTTCATACCATCAATGGAGAAAGGAAGGCACCACAGATAGTGAATCATCCTACCTATGCTAGGTGCCTTTTTAAGGATGGGTTATGCTTAATCCTAGAACGATCTTTGTATCTTTCCTGTGTATAAACATTTCCTTGATAACTAGTTTATATATGAGATACCAGACATAAATAAATCCATCCCTCCATCCATCAGACTTGCACACATTATGCACGTGTTCTTTAAGGGAAGGAAGAAATTCCTCATGCAGTGATAAGTTTTCCTTCTGGAGTGAAGTTTGAGCTCAGCTTATCCCTATGGCACCAAAATTAGGCTGTGTGGTTGAACATCTTAAACTGGTAAGACAGAAGGAATATTTGCAAATACATCCCCTTTCAGGCACAAATACCTGCTTGGTGAAGATCAGTGTAGCTGTGCTGGGGCTCAGCTGTTTTCCATCAGGGCTAATGACAACCACTGGGAGATATCTTCAGGATGAACTGGCTCTAAGGGAGATGAAGAGATTTTCTTATTTGTTCCCTTTCACTTATTGTAGCTCAGGAGGAGTGTGACTGGGTCGTTAGGTTTTAAGAAGGGCTATAACAAGATATAAGAAAAAGAAAGCAAAAATTATTTTAAAAAAAGAGTACTGAAAAAAATATGGTAGAAGAAACGTAGAAGTAATTTCACAAGAGCTTCAGTTAAAGTGCATAAACTTCATTAAGGTGTGTGTTTTAATTGGTTGAAACATATTTGTTGAATAAAACACCATGTAGATTTTACACTAGAAGTAACAAAACAAATTTTATTTCCACAGAAGGAAAGTCTAGCCCAATTCTCCTTCCTTCTCTGACCCCAACTAGATTGGCAGCCCTTGCTGTCTCATGTAGTCAGGTGAGCAGCCCAGGGCAGGTTGTTCAGTGAATGCCTGTGCTAAACCCCAAGGGAGAACTTGGGGAGAGATTAGGAACTGGTCAAGTATCCACAGCCTGGGGAGATTAGAAACACAAATCCACAGAGAGCATTGGTTTGAGAGCTCCAGATGAGAGAAAATTTAAGCTATATCCCCTGTGCTTACCTTCAGCACAGCTACATGATGTGGAAGTTCAAAGGAATACTGTGAAAATCCTGATGTTGCTGGCACATGGTCCATGAAGAGCACATGCTGTGAACATGTGAACACTTTCTCCTCTGCTTGGCCTTCCAAGGCAGGAGGGTGCTGAGAAATTTCAATCAGTGGCAGTCAAGGGTTCACCAAAACATACCCAAGACATAATCAGGTAAAAAATAGCTTCTACCTAAACTTACACAAATTGTAAGTCGTTGTTGTTATTGTTGTTGTTCCCAGTGACAGGAAGAAACTTACTTCAGGATTATTAAATGGAGAGGGATATATCCAAGATGGTTGCAGCGATGCCTGCACTTTAGCAAGATAGCTTCTCACTATCTGAAAGTCTGAATACATATCTTAGATCTAAATTCATGACCCGTATTCTATAGATATGCAGACGCCATATCTGAATCCTTAAATTAATTATGTCTTTTTTCCTTTGTCGTAGGAAGATAGCATAGTTTGTGCTGTAAGGGACCTTTAAAGGTCCTGTAGCACAACTCCTCTGCAGTGAGCAGGGACATCTTCAGCTAGACAAGTCACTTAAAGCCCTCTTCAATGTTTCCGGGTATGGGGCATCCACCAGCACTCTGGGCAAATTCTGCCAATGTTTCACCACCTTCTTAGTGAAAAAACTCTTCCCTATATCTAATCTAAATCTACCCTCCTTTAATCTAAAATCATTGCCTCTTTCCCTATCACAACAGGCCCTGTCCTGATCTTTCTTATATACAGCCTTTAAGTATGAAAAAGCTGCAATAAAATTCCCTAGAGCCTTCCTCTTGTCCAGGTTAAACAGTCTTAATTCTCTCAGCCTTTCCTCTGTCTTGGTTGGACACCTCATAGGAGAGGTGCTCCATCCCTACAATCATCCTCATCATCCTCCTCTGGAATCACTTCACCAGGTCCCTGCATGACCCTTAGGGTCCCATCCAGCCCCAGCTGATGATTCTGTGCTCTGAAATTGTGCTGGGTCAAACATGGACCCCTGATGGAGTTGTTGCCCACGGCTCACTGGACACAGATATCCAGACAATTCCACAGGCACTGATCTGCCGATCCATCAAATACATTTCTCTCCAGTTTAGGGATGGATATTTTAGGATCCTCTGTCAAAGTCCTTCCAGAAATCCAGATAGATAACATCCATTGATCTTCCCCTGTCCTCCTTATTGTCTCTATATTTCCATTTCAGAATATTTCTTTTCTGAGATTTACGACACAGTGATGTGAAAATGCACATAATAGCAAAAATCTTATTAATTTAAGTAGGAACAATAACCAAATAATTTTCTTACCAAACTCAGAAAAATGCTGTCAGCTTTTGTTACTAAAGAGATTAGAGGATACATTCAAGGTATTATTAATTTTCTGAGCTTGTCTTGAATTGCATCCATTTTGATTTTGAATACCTATTAATTAGATAATTAAAGTTATTCAAAGAAAATACTGTTTAATCAAATGCCATTTTCTTAAGTAACTAGTATTTTACATTTATCAAAACATATTGTTATTTCATGAATGGTTAAGAGCAAAATTTTTAATTAAATTGACAGATAAAAGCCACAGATTTTATGATGCAACATCTATTCCTTCAGTTTTGAATTGAATCCAAAGACCTGAAGGAGGAAATGTTGTAATTCAAAATGTCTCTGACTAAACAGTTATGGTTCTGTTTATGATATTAGAAACACTGCCACATGCTTCCCAGTCTGTGATATGATCATGTGGGGGGAAATCTACACCAGGGTAGGGGTGTTTTTTCTTTTCTTTTTTTTTAATCCACATATATAGTAAGATGAAGATGAAATAAAATAAGAAGACATTATTTATCCAAGGTAATATAGACTATTATATCAATCCTTTTTTTCCCAGATGTATATTCAAAAGAGTATACAAAAATATACAAAACTGAGAGATAGAAAAAGAAAATAATCAAAAAACAAATGAAGAAACATTTTCATGAATAATTCCTAGGTTAAATTCCTAAGAAATTAAGCTAAGTAGCCATCTTTGAAAAAAGAAATAGATTTCTTTTCTACAGTTCTATGATATAAATTTTCAGCTGTTTATTTGATTCAGATATACATTTTCCACATGCAGTTGTTACAGCTGTCCAATAATGAGATTCAGAACAAGGTGTCTGAGACAGAAATGACTATTCTGTCAAAATAGCCCAAAACTGAAATTCAAAGGGCTCAAAATCAACTCAATAGAAGCTCTTATAATCTGACTTTCGCCATAAAGGCTTGCATAAAGGTTTTATTTCATTTTTGTTTCTACTGTTTCTATCACATTAAAAGAATATGTGTTTTCTAGTGGCTAGCATTAAACCAAAATGCACAAAGCAGTTGAGCCAGTCTCCATCTTACCTTGATAATCACAAAGAAAAATAAATCTGTTTTCACAGCCAGACTATTCTTCTTAGGTGTAGGTTGGCTCGTTCCTGAACATTGTAAAGAGTGTACATGATTTCAAATACTTTTTCAGTTTTAATATTTTTCCTTTTCCTTCTGTGCCTGAAAAAATATATCCTGCAGGTTAAGTTAACATGGGTTTGTATATATTTGTAAATATACAAATATATTGAAATTGAAATTGAACTGGATAAGATGTTACATGCTTCTTTATCTACAATTTAATCATTAATCTGCTGTTCGGAGAGAATGGGAATGTCTTAACTTTTCATCTTTAATTTGCAAACTTTTCAGGAAACTGTCTTTTCTTCTGAGCCATATATTGACTTTCATAAAAATATATATTAGACTAATTTTCATAGTGGTCAAAACTAAAAATTATCATTTATTCCATATATTGACATTTCTGCATTTATTTTTAGCTACCTAAATCAAACTTTAACTGACATCATTTTCCATGTCCTACATTTAAAAATGCTATAACTCCATCCAGTTAAAAAATCCCGTTGCTAAAAGAGAAGGTCTTTACTTTAAAAATAGCATCGTTTAGTACATATAGCTAAAAATATGTAACAAAGGAAACACATTTAAATCTTTGCTTCTCATGATATTGAGCATACTAATAAATGAAAATGCTTTGTCTTAATAATCTCTTCCTTGTGGACTATTTAAGTAGAAATTCAATGAAATTTTTATGAGGGAAAAACAAAACCTCGTTACAAAGCTTTCATTTTGCCAAATGTGATAACAGTGCTTACAAAAGAAAATCCTAGCTCTTTGCTCATACTTTTGTGTGCAGTTAAGATAAAAGTTGAAGTTTCTTTTCCCCTGTAAGCAAAAGTTAAGCACCTGCTACAACCATGGTTTTGGAGCAGAGACTACATTAGATTGCAGCCTTAGGATCTCCTTTGTTTCATCTAACTAGAGACATTTAAAAGTTGATAAGCCTAAGCTAATTGTTTAGGCTTTCTTTTTAATCCATCAGGAAAGACAGGCATCTCCAAAGCATGATTTGTCCTGCTTATCTTAGAAACATAGGTGCAGAAATCTCATTACCATGGGAGAAGTTGCCTTTTCAGAAATTCCACTTTCCTTTTGAGTACAAAAAATCTTAAATAGTATGGTCAAATTAAACAGGCAACTTCTAAAATAGTCCAGTGAGATGAGGTTAATCTCCTTACCCTTTACATATCAGACTAAATAATTTTCTAATATGTTAATTCTACCTTGAAGTTCTGAACTCTGTGGGTAGGTTTTGACAGAGGAAAGAGGGAACCCTGTCTTTGACCTTGAGTTTTGTCTTGAGGTTTGGGCTTCTGAGGAATTTAAGAGAAAAAGGAAGGCTCTGGTTTTTGGTTTGGCATCAAGAAGGGAGTTCTTGGGTAAGCCTCTGTGAAGATTCACTGCCATGTTTTGCTGGACTCAGAGAGGGGCCAGAAAGGGTGGAGGGGGATCTTTTACAAGGGCACAGTGATGATGGAACACAATGATGACAGAACCAGGGGAAATGGTTTTAAACTGACAGAAGGTGTGTTTAGATTGGGTATCAGGAAAAAATTCTTTACTATCAGGGTGAGGAGACACTGGAACATGTTCCCCAGAGAAGCTGTAGATGCTCCATCCCTAGAAGTGTTCAAGGTCAGGTTGGATGGAACTTGGAGCAACCTGGTCTGGTAGAATGTTGGCACAGGGCAGGGGGCTGACACAAGGTGAACTTTCAGGTTCCTTCCAAATCAAACTATTCTATGATTCTGTGTTATGTACAGCCATAGTTCTGACACATATTGAAAATTCAGCACAGTTAGTAAATCCTTTTGCTTCATGTAGTTCTTAGAGGCAAAAAAAACTGCATGGCAATTACAGTCAGTAAATCTTATTATAAATTGTATCATATGCATGCATATGATACATATGCATATTGTGCATATGTATCATATGCATGCATATGATACAATTTATAATAAGATTTACTGACTGTAAATCAACCATATTGTGATTCAATGTTGTATTTTT